CTACAATGGTAAAATTGATTGTAGATTGATGGAATATGAATTATATGATGGGACGAAAAGGGTGCCGAAGAGCGAGGTTGTCTCCGGTTAAGACTTTTAAAATTTCATCTTGCATTTTTTAAAACAAAAAGATTATCCTTATATTCGTGTTAAGGAAATAGAGTTATGTCTACCATAGAATTACAGGTTTACGAGTTATTCAAGAAGCGCTTCAGTGAAGAAGAAGCCAAGACTGTAATAGCCTATTTCGAAGCCAAAACAGATGAAAAAATAAGTCAAAAGAAAGATGTTTTGCTCACCAAAGAAGACAAAATTGACCTCATCGACAGAATCAACAAATCGAAAATTGAAACTATTGTATGGATTGTAGGAACCGGAGTAATACAGTTCGTGCTTTCTATTTTGGCAAAAAAGTTTTTATAGAGCTTACGCTGTAGTACTCGCTATCAAATGCGTTGCTTTCTTCTTCTCCAATGCTGCTTTGATAAATGCCACAAAAATAGGTTGCGGACTTTCCACTGTTGATTTTAGTTCCGGGTGAAATTGTACGCCAATAAAAAACGGATGTGTTGGAATCTCCACAATTTCCACCAAGTTACTTTCAGGATTCTTGCCGGAGGCTTTCAATCCTGAATTTTCGAAATCGTTGAAATAGGCGTTGTTGAACTCGTAGCGGTGACGGTGGCGTTCCGACACTTCAGCCTTACCGTAGATTTTCTCCGCCAGAGTTCCTTTTTCAATGGCACAACGATAAGCACCTAAACGCATGGTTCCGCCTTTTGCCGTGATTTTCTTTTGCTCGGCCATCATATCAATTACCGGATGTGTAGTATGTTCATCCATTTCCACAGAATGCGCATCGGCCCAGCCTAACACATTTCTAGCCCATTCAATCACGGCCATTTGCATCCCTAAACAGATACCAAAAAACGGTATTCCATTTTCGCGTACATAACGGATAGCTTCAATTTTCCCTTCTATACCGCGACTTCCAAAACCAGGCGCCACTAACACTCCATCTAAGCCTTGCAACTCATCGGCTGCATTTTCTTTGGTCAAATATTCCGAGTGAATGTTTCTTACAACAACTTTGCATCGATTCGATACCCCTGCATGAATAAACGATTCGTAAATCGATTTATAGGCATCTTGCAATTCGATATATTTCCCAACTAAGCCAATGGTTACAGTATCGGTAGGATTTTTTAGATGATCGACAAACGTTTTCCAAGCATCTAATTGACAAACATTATTCGTTGGTAAATGTAATTTGTTCAACACCGTTACATCCAACTTTTCGTTTTGCATTTCTAATGGCACATCGTAGATGGTATCTACATCGGAAGCCTGAATAACCGCTTCAATATTCACGTTGCAGAAGAGGGCTAATTTTCTTCTGATGTCGTGTGTCAATGGCATTTCAGTTCTACACACTAAAATATCGGGTTGCAAACCGTACATCTGCAACTCTTTTACAGAGTGCTGTGTAGGCTTTGTTTTTAATTCTTTTGCGGCTTTCAAATACGGCA